CGACGACGCCTCGTGTCCCATGTGGGCTAGTCCGTGTCCCGTGTCCTACTCTTACTTGCTGGCGATCGGATCTTCACTTCGTGGGTCACACGGCCGCTGGAAATGGACACCGAAGGGAACAAAAGGATGGGTGCCGGCGAAGATATAGACTAGGTTTTACTCGTTGCATGTAATTGTATGGATTTGATGATTTTCTAATGAGGTATCCGGTTGTGGAAGCGGTTTTTTTTAGGGGGGCTGCGGACGTTTATGGGTCAGATTAGCTAGGTTCGGCTGTAGATGCTCTTACGGCCGGGCCAATCCAAACAAGAATCGACGTTATCCTTTACCACCGTAAACATGTGACGTTACAAATCTGTGAACCAGGCACCTCCCTAGATTTATCTTAGGCGTACTATTGTACTAATATCCTAGACAACATATTACGGAATCCACATTTTCTTTTTTCTCAAAAAAAATTAATCCACATTTTCTCAAAAAAAATTGGAATATAGACTTGTTGATGATTTCTCATTTTTGTTGGCGCTTGTCAGAGTTTCACGACACATGGACATTTGTGAATCGCCGCATCAAAGATGCTCTTGATTTGCAGAAATCTTATAAGGAGGTACGAGTCACTCAAAATCTAACTGTATAAGTTGTTATAGATTTTTGCCAACCCCTTGCACCATTAACCTTGTGATCTGACTGTACAGGTCGCTTATCTAACTGAAACCCTGGGAGCAGGGATCGGTGGCTCCATACAGGGCGTCCTGAACAAGGTTTTCCAGAAATGAAGAAACTTGCCTTTGCAGGCTGCCTTCTCGACATTTCCACCACCACTTATGTCACGTTAAGATTATATGACCTTGTATATAGTACCTTCTTTTACAAACAAACGCTATTAGGGTAGCCAAGAAGTTATTTAGTCGGTGATCAGAGGTCAGTTGAGTTGTTGATTAGTCATCATTGCGTAATTCCGCTGCAGGTTGGCGAAAAATCTGTTTACGCTACAGACTCTAGTCCATGTGTGGACCGAGTTGCCGCAAACAGAACAAAGACACTCGCGGCTTTGCATGGACACGACTTGACATTTGAAACTTTATATAAGGGTTGAGCGCTCGTTGGTGTTATTGTGTTTAAGATGTATTTTTTTTAAGGGTCAAACCTTTTTGATTTGACAAAATTTAGAGAAATATATCAATTTCCACAATATCAACTTGGTATCATCGTATTCATCATGAAATGAACTTTTATATTTTCATTTATTTAGTATTGCGGATGTCAGACTTTTTGGCTCCGAACTTGGTGAAAGTTAAAGAAATTGATTTTTTTTAAATAACACACCTTATATATTAGAACTGATGGAGTATTTGGTTCAGCAAGTGAGAGAGACGATGAAGTGTTTCTAGTTTATTTACAAAATGCAGTGTTTTGGTAGGTCCTTCGTGGTATGATTTTGTGTTATTTGCTAATCAACTCATACTTATGTGAAGCTGTTTTTTGCATCCATGGTTGCATGGACTATATTGATGCTATAATATCACATGTTGTCATTTCTTTTTTTTAGGTGATGAGAGGGTGCATGAGATTGATATGTTTTTTAGGTTAGTTGTTGCGATTGATTTTAGAAAACCGTTGACTTGGTCAACATCTTGAACCAAATTCAAAATTAAATATCTCAATCGAATGAGATAACACATCTCCTTTGGTGGCGCGTCCCTCCGTGGCGTCCGGCTCTGAATCGAAGGTAAATGCCTATGGCCTGTCCACTGCGAGGACGAGGTGTGCCCGCTGACTGAGGTAGAGGGCGTGGGAGGTCGCGGTAGCCCTCGTGGCTGACACCGCAGAGGTGGAGTTGCACGCCACTGGACAGGCGGAGCCGCAACGGGTGACCGGCACCCCTGTCTCCGCAACGAGGCCCGCTCGTCCTCGTCCATCATCGATCTCACCTCTACTAGCGACGGTGCCTCATGTCCCATGTGGGCCAGTCTGTGTCCCATGTCCTACTCTTCTTCGTCGGCGATCGGATCTTCACTTCGTGGGTCACACGGCCGTTGGACCTGGGCACGGAAGGGAACAACAAGGACGTGGTGGACAGGCGTCAGCGAAGATATAGTTTTTTAATGAGGTATTTGGTTGTGGAAGCGGTCTTTTAAAGAGTGACCGCTCATTGTCCGTGAACGTGTCCGGAAGCTTGTGTGGACGTTTAAGGGGTCGAATTTAGGTTCGACTGTAGATGCTCTTACAGTCGGGCCAATCCAAACAAGAATCGACGTTATCCTTTATCACCGTAAACAGGTCGGGCCAATCCAAATAAGAATCGACGTTATCCTTTATCACCGTAAACAGGTGACGTTACAAAATCAGTGAACCAAGCACCTCCCTAGATTTATCTTAGGCGTACTAAATTAATTTTATTTTATTACAATGCAGTGTTTTGGGGGACCTTTCGTGGTAAGATTCTGTGTTATTTGCTAATCAATTCATACTTACGTGAAGATGTTTTTGCATTCGTGGTTGTATACACTATATTAATGCTATAATATTACATGTTGGCATTTCTTTTTTCTAGATGATGATAGGGTGCATGAGATTGATATGTTTTTTAGTTAGTTGTTGCCATTTGATTTTAAAAACCGTTGACCCGGCCAACATCATGAACCAAATTGAAAATTAAATAGCTCAATCGAATGAGATAACACAAAAATTAGGGAGCATAGTGAACAGAAAGAATTGAATAAGAGCATTCCTTGAGAAATTGTTGACCCGATCAAAATCGAGTGACCCGATTTTCAAATAGAAAATCTCAACTGATTGCGATGCCTTAAAATTAGGAAGCATAGTCACTAGAAGGGGTGGGCGCGCTTTGCCACACAGTTGGTGTCGGCGGGTTTTCTGGTTTCTTTACACTCGTTTTTTCAAAATTCATGGTGATTAGTTTTTTACAAGGTCCAACCTCTTTAAGTTTGACCAAAATTATAGAGAAATATATCAATATCAATAATATCAAATCGTATCACTAGATTAATCATGAAATGATTTTTTTCATATTTTATTTAATTAGTATTGCGGGTGTCGATATATTTGGCTCTGAACTTGGTCAAAGTTAAAGAAAAATTACTGTTGAAAAAATGAATTAACTTATATTTTCAAATTGAGGGAATATTTGGTCTGATGAGTGGGCGAGATGGTGGAGAGTGTTTTAGTTTTGCTTATAATGAGGTGTTTTGGTGGGCCTTTTGGAGTGTGATTTTATGTTATCTGCAAATTCATCCAAAATTATGTGAGGAAATTTTCTACATTAGTGGTTGCATATATTATATTGGTGATATAATAACAGTGTATCACATGTTGATGTTTCTTTTTTCTACGTGATGAGAAATTGCACCGAGTTGATATGTTTTTATACGTCGGTTGGTACCCATTGATGACCCAGTTAAAATGTGAACCAATTTCAAAATTGAATATCTTAGTCAAATGGAAGAGCTTCAAAATTAGCATAGCAAATTATAAAATTAAACTAGAGAACTCTTTGAGAAATTGTTGACACGGTTAAAATCAAGTGATCCAATTCTAAATTGAATGTGTGACTTTAAAAATGAGAGGGCATGGTGCTATAGAGGATTAAAAGGGTTATACGCAGACATTTGTGTTGTCTGGATTTCTTTTATTTGATGTATGAGGGAGATGGTAGCGGACGTTTTTTTATAATGCAGCGTTCTGGTGGGCTCTTCTTGTAGGTGTGATTTGGTGACATATGGAGGTACTTCTGGCCACTGATACGTTGGAAATGTATTTATACTTTTCTTATTTTTTTCATATTATGTTTATCATTTTTACATGGTTTTGGTACCAATTTTTTAACTAACCTACTAATTCAGTCCCCGATATCAGTTATTGTTTTCTGCATGGTTTCTGGATCTTTTAAAAAAAATTTATTTTACGAGCACTCCAAAAACTTTGAGGCCTCCTTTGGTTCATAGGATATGAAAGTTATAGGGATAAGAAAGTCATAGGAAATAAGATGACATGTATCTGAAATCCTATGAATAGGAATATAAAAGAAGATGCCCTTTGGTTCACATCATAGGATTTTTTTCGTTGAGTCTAGGCTAATGTTTATTTTCCTATGAAATGTGAAAGATAAGAAGAATTTCTTCATAGCAATAGGATTCTATTCTTACAAACCAAAGGGCTTTAAAGAAATTTTTTCTATACAAATTATATTCTATGAAATTTCTACAAATCAAAGGAGGCCTAAATCTTTTTAAGGAAACACCTTTCATCTAGAAGCTTCCGAAGAACACATGATGCAGCTAGGGACCCACTGCCCTCACACGCCCCCACTTCGCAGCCAGAGGGTGGCCAACTGCCCCCACGCGTCAGTGACCCTAAGGCCTTGTACAATGGGAGGTGCTTAGAGAAATAAACCAAACTTTTCTTAAGCACCGGTGCTTATTTGTACAGGATAGAATAGGCACCGGTGCTTCAGAAAAATTCGGTTTATTTTTCTAAGCATCTCTCTAAACACCTCTCATTGTAGGCCTAAGCCCCCCTACTTAGAGTCAGTGAATCTGAATCGTGGGAGGGTTTATTGGGTAGCCCATGGAGATGCTCCGGTATGAACATCTATACTGTTCTTCTAAAAAAAAATCTATACTGCTACAGTGCCACACAAGAACATAGTCAGTACTCAGTACTGATGAGTTACTGAATACCAGCATAAACACCTTTTGCCTCCCTGATTAGGTCTTACATTAGCGTTACGCCATATTAATTACTACTCCCTGTCAAACATTGGACATCAATGGTTGTAGTACCATTGGAGGCCTACAGCAAAGCTGACTGCTCACCCACCGAGCGATCACCGGTACCTCCACTCAACCAATATAGCAAAGCTGACACTGCAATAACAAAGGCCTACAGCAAAGCTGACACTGCAATAACACTAGCTCACGGAGTCTAACAAACTCATTGATCCCGTGCAGGTGCAGCCCAACTCCAAGCCGGGCGAGTCGATGGAGAGCCGCGGTGGCGCGCCGTCGCCGCACCTGCTGTTCGTCACCAGCCCAATGCAGGGCCACATCAACCCGGTGCGCCGCCTCGCCGCCCGCGCCGCGGTCACCGTCTCCACCGCCGTCTCGGGCCACCGCCGCATGTTCCCCTCCCTCGCGTCGCCCGGCGAGGAGGCCGTCGACGCCGCGGGCGTGCTGCACGCCCCCTTCTCCGACGGCTACGACGAGGGGGTCGACCCACGGGTGCACGACATGCGCTCCTTCGCCGCGCGCGCCCGCGCCGTCGGGCGCGAGTCGCTCGCTGGCGTCGTCGCCCGCCTCGCCGAGCGCGGCCGCCCCGTCACGTGCGTCCTGTACACCTTCTTCGTGGGCTGGGTGCCCGAGGTCGCGCGCGCCGGCGGCGTCCCCTCGGCGCTCTTCTGGATCCAGCCGGCCGCCGTGTTCGCGGTGTACTACCACTACTTCCACGGCCACGACGCCGTGCTCGCTTCCTGCGCCAACGACCCGGACCGCGACGCCGTCGTCCAGCTGCCGGGGCTGCCGCCGCTCAGGCCCCGCGCGCTCCCGTCCGTCGTGGCGTTAACCTCGCCGGAGCAGCGGGGCTACGAGGTGGTCGGCACGCTGCGGGACCTCTTCGTGGCGCTCGATGACGATGAGCACAGGACCAAGGTGCTGGTCAACACGTTCGATGCGCTGGAGCCCGACGCGCTCCGTGCGGTGCCGGGGCTTGAGCTCGTCGCCGTTGGGCCTGTGGTGCCGGACGGCGCGTCCCCGTCCACCACAGATCTGTCCCTGCGCGACAACGACGACGACGACGACGTGAATGGGTACATGGAGTGGCTGGACACCAAGGCCGCGCGCTCTGTGGTGTACGTCTCGTTCGGGACCATATTCGCGGCGAGCAAGCGGCAGGAGCTGGAGACGTTGCAAGGACCCAAGGCCACCGGCCGGCCGTACCTATGGGTGTCGCGCAAGGTCGCAGAGGATGGTGCAGAGTTGGACGGCGCGGGAGCGGGTGGCGGCGCCGACGGAGGGCGAGGGATCATGGTGGAGTGGTGCGACCAGGTGCGCGTGCTGTCGCACCCGGCAGTGGGATGCTTCGTGACGCACTGCGGGTGGAACTCGGCGCTGGAGAGCATCGCGTGCGGCGTGCCTGTCGCGGCCGTGCCGCAGTGGACGGACCAGCCGACGGTGGCGTGGCTGGTGGAGGAGTGCGCGGGCGTCGGGGTTCGCGCGCAGGCGGACGGCGAGGCGGTGGCGGAGCGAGGCGAGCTCCAAAGGTGCGTGGAGACGGTCATGGGCGACGGCGAAGCAGCAGTGGAGATCCGAGCATGCGCGGCAAAATGGATGGAGCGGGCCAGGGAGGCGCTCGCCGCCGGCGGGACGCTGGAGAGGAATCTCCGAGCCTTCCTGTCTGGTTTCTGAAGAAGGAACATACGCGTGATTCTTTGTATCACAGGAAGATTTGCAGCTGGATCTCTTAATAAAATTCAAAATGGAGTTGCCTAATTCTTAGCCAAAAAATAGGGAAAAAAATTATATGAGACCAGGTCTCATATAAATCAGGTGAGACCCGCCCTGATGAATGACATGTGACATTCACAAATCACAAAGCATCTAATCCCCCCCCTCTGATTTTAGGTGGGGGTGGGGTGGATGCTTTATGATTTGTGAATGACACGTGTCATCCATCAGGATGAGTCTCATCTGCTAATCCGTGAGACCTGGTCTCATAGAATTTTTTTTCAAAAAATACTAGACATACAAAACAAATCACATGAGTTTACAAACTCTTTTCATCTACTAAACCATCACAAACTTGCTCCCTCTAATAAAAGGGGTGAGCCGTCTCCGCACATATTAACAAATTAAGTTAACTCTTTTTATAAAACCCTGTAACTCATTTGTACGCATAGTATTATTGTTTCTTAGCTGTAGACGTTAACCATTGAATTTTGCAGCCTACCGTAGTTTTCGGACGTGCTTTCCTATCCTTCTATCAATGAATAACGCATGATTCTAATAGTGGTAATTAGCACCGGTTAAAATCCTAAACTAATTACGGTCAGCGACCGGCCCCACATGTCAGTGACTCGAGGGGAGTCAAACTGGGTCAACCCGGGCCAAACTCGTCGGAGTTGACCCACGCTCGTCACCGGGGAGGCCAGAGACGGCGGAGGGGCTCAGGATTTGTCCTCCAACGACCAAAAGGACGGCGGAGGGGCTCTAAGGACAGCTAGGCGAGCACTGCGTCCACTGGTGCAGTTGGTTCGTGCTGGGGTCGACCAGAACGACAGCGGCGTCGACAGGTGCGGCGGCTGGAGTTCGGTCAAGCTCGGAATCGGCATTGTGGTGCACGGGAGGTCGAGGGGTGGGGTGCTACGTGCTCCTGCAGACATGCTGAGCACGGTGACGCGCTCAGGCGCGGCTGCAAAGACGACGACAACATGGCCGGCTGCGGTGAGCTCTCGGGCTCGACGGTGATGCTAGCTAGGGCGTGCTATCTAAGAAGGGGTCAGGGGAAAGTGACCAGGGTCTCACTGGGGGGCGGAGAGAAGGTCAGCGGGCTCGAGGACGCGTCAGGAGCGGGTGCACGATCGCCGGCGATCTCGAAGACCCGAGGTTGAAGAAGACGGCGAGAGGGCGCTCTGAAGCGTCCGGCGGCGCGTAGCTCAGCGAGTAGGTTGAATACGACACGGAGGAGCTCGAAGATTCGTCGGTGAGGTGTGTGGTTGCCGGTGGCCGCGGCAGGGAGGGAGCTAGAGGAGAGGGAGAGAGCTCCAGAGTGAGGGAAGAGGCAGAAGGGGTTGAGGCCGTTCCTGTGGCGCGAAGACAGGGCGAGGGGGAAGCAGGAGGTGGAGCTCGGGCGCGCGCGTGTCGACACGCCTCTGCCTACGGGCAGAGGTTGAAGACGGTGGGGCTCCTGGTGGGCTGGGCCAGGTAAGCTACAGGTAAGTTTCTATTCTGTTTTATTTTTCTTCTTTTTTTTCTTTCATTTACTCTTTTGTCACTGTTTACGAATTCAAACAATACCGGAACATCTTTTGAGTATTTTTATGTTGCTTCATGGACTTTTCCAGAGGCACATAAATTATCACAGAGCATTTGAAAATATATCCCACATATATTTGAATACATTTTCAAATTCAAATAGAATATTGTTTTAAATTCATAGGCCAAATAATTCCTTAAAAACGTTGCAGAATTTTGGTTTGGTAAATAACTCTTGTAAAAATTCACAAAATATTTTTAGGGAATTTTGGATTCACTGAATGCAATTTAAAAGGTTTTTGCCCTTTTTTTTAAAATAATTTCTGAGGCTTTGAATATTCCTCAATTCAATTTCTTGAATTTAACATGATGCATGCTCACTGATGCAACTATTACACTCAGGTATTCTAGGGCTGTGAAGTTGAAACTTTTTTCATCAGGATGAAGCTTTTTGCTTAACCGGTTGTAACTTTTCTTGTCGTCCATAGCTTCTATTGTATATGGTTTGCAACTTTATCCATAGCGGGTTGAAGCTTTTTTCTTGGCCATATGAAGCTTTTTTAGTCATCATTTGTAACACTGGGCATTTCCTGCCCCGACGACTCAAATTTTATTGCAAGCTTCATGTGTGCCGACACGCCGCGGCATCGGGGATGAGCGCCGGCGAGCACGCCGGCGAGCTTCGGTTGTCGCCACCAAAGCTACAACGGTTGCCACAGGAGTTGCAACCGCAGGGTGCGTGTTGCATGGGAAGAAGCAAGGGACGAGGACCACCGGCGACGAGGACAGACGGTGAGGGCTAGGACCGGCGAATAGGACGACCAGCGAGGAGCGGCCAAGGAAGAACGCGTGCAGCCGCAAGGCAAGGGGGTGGGGCGGCGGAGGGGGCAAACGCGTGCGGCGCCGCCGGGATTCTCTTCGTACACGTGCGTTGACGAAGATGACGTGCATCAGACGGTTCCCATCTCCCCAATCGGACGGCTGCGGGCCGACCGGCTCAAATTTGAGCCGGCGCGCAGGCGCAGGTTGCTGCCCTAATAAAAATGTCCTTTATCATAAATTTTCAATAGTTTTTTTTGGAATGTTGGCAGGAGAGCTGCCAAATTCATTGATTAGAAAGGAGTATTACAAATAAAACCCACAAAGGAGAAATGCATCGTATAAAGACGAGTGCCAAAAAGGAAAAAAATGAAAAAAGAGGTTGCACGGTTTATTAAGAAAAACCGAGCGAAAACCTAACAACGCCTAGTTAAACTAGGCCTAAAGCACCACCAAACACACAAAACGCCAGAAGGCCAACACCCGACTACACGCCCGGCCGGGCACTCGAGCGCCTATGCTGCTACCAGAGTACACACCGAGAACCGTCGTACTAGTCCGGGCTGCCACAAGCATATCCACAAACCTCGACGGCACCGGATAGGAACGATATGTCCGATAGAGCGAAACATATGCCGTCCCGATCCCACGAGCATTACAGACATAACTTGCCTTGCGCTCCTAGCATGTGGAGGGTGCTCATGCTGCTCACCACCATCAGCGAGTGACCAATCCCAAATGAATGCACCACCAAAGACTCCCCGCTCACCACAACGCTGCCTGCTCCTGATCTACCACCCCACCACTAACCCTGGTGCTCTCTCACAAGACTTGACTCCAACGCAATGCTCCCAACAGAGCAATGACACCACAGACGCCACCATCACACACGGTTTTCACCGGAAGACAAGAACTGATCAAGAAAGGTGTCGGATCCCCTCAATGGCGCCTCCAACAAGGAAAACCACACCCAAAAAGTATCGTTAGCCATCAGCCCCGACCAATGTCGGGCATGACTTTCGTCCGGGGACACGAGCACCTACGCCAGGGAAGGCGTCCCCGACTCACCACCACCAGACCAGAGCCAGCACCTCTCACATGTAGATCACTGGCCAAGAGGAGCACCACCGATGGTGCAAGACTCAAAGCAAGGTTCGAAACCTGCACCAACGCAGACCACCATCCCGTCGGGAATCCCCACACATCCAGCTTGAAGATCAGTCACCAACCGAGCCTCCACCTGCACAAGCAGCAGACCGGCTGAAGAATAGCCAGATCCCTGCCTGGCACCACGCGCCGCGCCCCGAAGGTCGCTTTGTCCGGCGGCGCTCACCGGCGGCGGCGAGGGGAGCAGGTGCGGAGGGAACTGCCCGGCGGCGGCTAGGGTTTTCTCTCCCGGGCCGCTCGCAGGAGCGGCACGGGAGCGTTCCTCTGTTCTAGCTCCTATGCATACACGTCAATTTTTGATTCTTCCTGTTTTTTTTCAATAGTCATATCAGAGCGTAACTCAACTGCTCACCCATGTCTGTTAATTTATTTCCGTTAGTTTACACAAGAACAATACATCTGAATAATCATAATATACAACCTTAAAGTAATTTTCAGGAAATAATTACCTACAAATTTACTGATCTTGCTTGATATGTGTCCAAAATTTCTACACAAAGTTTCCTTCCCGCTAAGGCTGCTGCTTTCTCGCAACGGCATCAAGCAGCTCAGCTGGAGTAATCAGACATGGCAAACGAGCAGTTTGAAGAGCCGCCCATCGGCAGCGCGCTCCGGGCCGGCGACCGCTGCTGGCCAGCCGGACAAGGCGCCGGGGCACCGCGCGGCTGCTCCTTGCCCTCGTCGGCGGCGCTCTCGGGCGGCCGCCTGACCTCCTTGAGCAGCGCGACGACGTCCTTCATCGCCGGCCGGTCGTCGGCGCGGTGGCTGATGCAGAGCATGGCCACTGCGAAGACCTGCAGCATCTCCTGCACCTGCGCCTCCTGCTTCCCGCGCAGCCGCGGGTCGAGGAGCTCCGCCACCCCCCGCTTCGCCTGCATGTGCTCCCGCACCCACTGCACCAGGTGCGTCCCGCCGGGCAGCGTCGGGTCCAGCGGGTGCCGCCCCGTCAGGATCTCCAGCACCACCACCCCGAAGCTGTACACGTCGCTCTTCTCCGTGATCCTCTGCATGGACGCGTACTCTGCTCCCACAAGAATATCGCGATCAGTAAGAACAATTTCTGTTAGAGAGGGTACAGATTTTGAAGAATTTTGTTGTTACCTGGCGCGATGTAGCCGTATGATCCGGCGATGCGCGGCCTGGACGTGTCCAGCTTGGCGGAGCTGCCGGGCTCGACCACGCCGGAGAGGACGCGGGCCAGGCCGAAGTCGGCGAGGTACGGCTCGTTGGCCGGGCCGAGCAGGACGTTCATGGCCTTGATGTCACCGTGCAGGATGGCCGGCAGGCAGTCGTGGTGGAGGTAAGCCACGGCGTGCGCGACGCCGAGCGCCACCTCGTACCGGGGGGCCCAGTCGGCGGCGCCCTTGACGCTGCCGCGGTGGAGGAAGCCGCTCAGGCTGCCGTTCGGGAGGTAGGTGTAGAAGAGCAGCTTGGTGCTCCGGTTCGCG